AAAATTTAAAAATGTGGAAGACGTCAAAAACCACCTTGACACCTTTTTCAACGAGAAACCGCGCGATTTCTATGAATCAGGCATCCGTGAATTGGTTGAACGTTGGGAGTGGATTGCCGAACATGATGGCGAATACATAATTGATTAATAAAAGCGCTAGCTAGTAACGGGAAAATTTTTTCTTATACCGCAGTCACAGATTTGGCGGTTTTCTTTTATGTGCAAGGTGCAATGGAACCATGATCCAGTTTCATCATGCCGAAAATATAGCGTAGGGTACTTAAAATGGTTAGAATACAATCACACCTGCGAGATTTTTCTTCTTTAATTGAGTATCGCCAAAGCCGTTTTTTCCAACTTTTTCGTAAGATCTGGCGTTCGATGCTCCTGCCTAACCTCGGCTGGTTTTCAAGCGATTCCCCTCCTGGTTTAAATAAACTATGCCACTTTTGTGGCATGCTTAGGTACTTTATAACGGTACGGTATTCGATTTTTCTTATATCTAATTTTTTTTGTGACGAAAGCCCAAAGACTAATGGAGAGAGACAGAGAGAGAGAGAGAGAGTGAGTGTTAATTGTTAAAAGCAATGAAACGCCACGCATTTACTACCAATTATGTGTCACTGCAGATGTCGCGATTCCAATGGGTCTAATCACTCTCAAAAGCTCTCTCATAATAACCCTCCTACTATTATTAATATATAAAAGGAAATTTGGTACACAGGCAGCTCTTTGACTAGATTGACATGGGTTCGGGTAAATTTTTTCTGCTAGAAAGTGGACAGATATTTCAGAAAATGATCGGAGTCTTGCTTCGTCTTGCTCGAAATTCGGAATATAGATAGCTATTTTTGTCTGTCAAAATATGTAAAACTTTTTTGGAATAAAAATTCCTGTTTGCCTAGGACCAGAAACCGATAAATACGAAAATATCATATTAATTCAACTTGTTTGATATTATTATGTGTATATTAGTTCACTCTCTCCAAGGACGATATAATCGAATGAATATAACTTTCGTTAGATTTGCCTGAACATAAAGACTTGGTTGACTGGATGGAACAATAGATATAAAAACAGTATTTTTTTTACAAATTATTTTGAAATGGCAGGAGCAGGCTTGAGACGAAGTCATCTCTCACATAGCCAGAGAAGCGCACAAATCAGCTGTGCTCATCCACTTTGTGAAAGAATTTGTGAAAGGACCTTTGTGGGCTTATGAATTGCTCCATTTGGAGTGATGATAATCCACAAGTTATTATTGTTATGCCGTTATATTGTCAAAAAGTCACTTTTTTGGTTGCTCGACGGGTAGATAGAATCATTGGTTTATATTTTTTTCTCTACTTTTATTTGCTGAAATTTGAGAATGTGGATGACCTTTGGTTTCAACAAGACGGCGTCTCAAGCCATACAACCAACGAAACAGTTTATTTATTAAAGGACACTATAAAGGACACTTTAAGTGAGCAGATTATCTCATGTTGTGGGTCCGAGACGTAGGGTCTAATACGGCTAGGCTAGTTTTTGTAAGCTTATGAAAAGTCGCATTTCCACACAGCTTAACATAGGACGATTGACGTCTTTAAAGAGAACATTCGACTTGTTAAAGATGTGTTCGAAATCAATTGCTGAAAGTACTGTGCGACCCCATAACCCATCTTTAGACCCAGCACTCATTATTGAAAAATATTCGACCGAATATGTCACATCCAACACGCAGTGAAGGAAATATAGCGGCCGTAGCTGAGCGTATGCACAAAGGCCGCGGAGAGTCGATTCGGAGCAGCAACGAATAGAACGACTTGGCGCATTTTGTGCAAGCCGTTTGATCTTCCCAAGTGACATTGCTCTGTAAGCTCTTGAAAATTTCTGAAAAGATCCGACGTTTTCGGGCAAAGTTTTCAACTCAAGGGTTGCCATTTCATCCAGAAATCCGGTGTAATCATCGGTTCATATTTCTTCAAACTTGAAGCAGGTGAGAACTTAATCGTCAATGGCGACAGTTATCGCGCTCTGGTAACCTCTATTTGATGCCTGAAGTTGAAGATCGTGATCTCAACGACATTTGGTTTTACTGACAGAAGATTTCTTTGAACAAATAATTTCACTTTTTGGACAGGTCGATAGTTAAAGTTAGGGTTTTTCCTGTCCATACCATCCCGTTTCGATTCAGGCCAGGGGGATAAATATCACGCATGTCATCCGCCAATGAACGAATGGACTTTGCTGGCTGCTTTATGGTCGGCCGGTCGTAAACTATGCTGCACCAATCTGGGCACCGGGGACTAACGAGACGCAGATAAAGAAGCTACAGGCTTGCCAGAACACCGCTCTCAGGACCGCGACAGGAAACCTCCTGATGTCGCCGGAGCATCACTTGCACAGGGAAGCATCTTTGCTACGAGATAAGGCTGTGCAAGCACCGCAGTAGGCACCTAATAGAAGCTAAACCTCTACGCAGGCAGCTCAGAAAGGGAGTACAAGACTTAAAGGACACAATCCAGCAACATGTGCAACAACCACTGGACAGGACAGCGTACAGACAAATACTGAACGCCATTCACCAGGAGTCAGTCAACACTTTCAAAGACACCCTTAACATGACAACGAGCTCCAGCTGACTCGAGAGACCCTCGTGACCCTGACACAACTAAGGTCTGGATATTGTAGCAGGTTAAACTCCTACTTATCCAGACTGCATATGGAGGTCTCTGCACGACACTTACCACCTCTTCACATGCTCTCTCAAACCAACTCATCTAACCCCCCTCTCCCTCTGGTCCAACCCCGTCGAAACAGCTCGTTTCCTGGACCTACCATTAGATGACCTCGGCGACTTAGACTGATCAAACCTGTGCCTAAGCGGGGTTAGCAAACCGCTACAACAACAACAACAACCACGTGCGACGTAGCCGCGGCCAACATTTGAAGAGATAAATTGCTCAGGAATATTCATTCAAATGATAATAAAGATTTGAATTTTTTCGGGGTTTTTTTTTTTTTGTTTTGACGAAAGTAGGTAACCACGAAATGGATCATCGCTTAGAACTATTTTCAGATTGCAAGCAGGCGAAATCGCGTGTAAAAACTTGTAATTTTTTAATACAAATTTAAGTGGATTCTTGCGAATTCGCTTCATGTTTTTAGACGTGACACTCAAATAAAAAAAAACTCTAATTGAAATTATGTAAACTTGCTGAATTCCAGCAATTCTATGTCACGCAATGTCAGGCGACAAGTAGATTTTCCTGTTTTCTCGTTTTCTCCCCTTATCAGGGAAATAAAATGATGTATTTAAATGTTCAGTCTAATTGCGATGACGTGTGGCGGAAAATTGGCGTAGTAAAGGAAAAACGGATAATAAATGCGTCACATAGAAAAAAATTTAAATATACAAACGCAGAAGAAATCAAGAAGCCACATAGAGAGAGCAAAAAATCAATAATAATATTTGACTTACTTAAGATTACCGCAGCTTCCTTGACTCCACACGCACTTCAGCCAATGGACATGCAAGCACTCGAGCGAGGTGAGAACCGCATACTTGAATTTGTATTGTACATATGAATTTGCATATGTTGTGTATGTGTGTAAAATACTGCCTCGCCTCAACTCGTAAATATTTACATGAAAATTTGTTTGCACCACTCGGCAGGATCACGGTCGACAATCCACTTAAACATTTTCAAAGACAGAATTTGCATAAATAAATCGGAAAACTGCTTAAGGTAGTGGTTGAAAACGGTATTGGCATGCGGTATGTGGTATTTGTTGTTATTATTGCTTGGTGACAACGCGTGGCAGGCATGGTATGTGGCACGAGGCGTTGGAAACAATAAAATTGCTAAACAACTGCGGTAGAAAACAATAAAAATAGTGTTGAAGAAAAGCTTAAGATGCATAGATGTAGTTGTTGACATAGCTGTTGTTGTAGTAAAATATGTTGCACGTCAATGTGTCGACTTTATGCACTTAAATTCCAGTTTATAAAAGCGCAGACCAGTAAAAAATTGTCAAAAAAAAAACTTGCAAATAAATAAATGGAAAAAAATTAACAATTTCAGTGCTAACGACATTGGCAATAATAATAGCAACAACATTGACAACAAAGGTCTACAAAACTTCGGTTGGCGGGCTAGCAAATAACTTAAGTTGTTGTTAATAAACTGCGCAACCAACCAACCAAGTCTCGGTCAATATAAAGTGAAAAAAAAAAATTGAAAAAAAAAATTAAAAAATAAAAACAATAAAATAAATTAAAATAACAAGAAAAAAGAGCTGTCTCCGGCCATGCCGAAGCTTTTATACCCTTTTTTGGTCACATCACATTTATGGTATTTCATTTAAGGATTAAAAATTATTGTTCATATCTGGAAAATTGGCTGCAGGAGAGTGGGCTGTATGATAAAGTTCTCCGATTTCGATGTTTTTTTACGTGATAATGTCAACTTCATTATACCTCTCTCGTAGAACGCTGCGTCCCCATTGGGAAAAAACTCGGTAAGCCAATTTTCACAGGCCTCTCTTGAGGCCAACTTCTCAACATTAAGCGCGTTCGCCATGACCAGGAAAAGATGGTAATCACTTGATGCTTGGTCCGGACTGTAAGATGGGTGCATTAGGACCTTCCTTCCGAGCTTCTGGAGCTCTCTCCTCTGTTGA